ATATATATATATATATATACGATCCAGTCGATTTCCGATGGACAAAATCAAGTCCCACACTACATTTTTTCTTTCTTTTCATTTCTATAGCTGGGAAGTAAGAAGAGGGAAATAAAAGTTAAATAAGATGCAATTTCAGTTTCATGCCGACTTTAAATTTGAGCATAAATGTCTTGATCTTGTGTAATTTTATCTATTTTATCTGTGTGTGTATACAGGATCATGAAGACTTTCCTCTATATTGAACAAGAACAGAAGAGACATTTTTGTTTTTCATCTATAGTTTTAATAGGAGTGCATAACAAAGATATATGCTTTATTTTTATACAACTTTTTCATGACATACTTATGTACTTCAGTTCATACTTATGTGCCTCTGTTTATAATTATTTATGTTTTATGCTAATTTTGTTTAATAAACTTTATTTAGACTACTGGTGCTTATTGAACTCTACCATTAATTTTCTTAAATGCTTAATGCATGGCATACAAAGTGTGAAATTTCTTCTGTAGCTGGGATATAAAAATCACAATTGTTCTTTAATGGACTCCCTAAGTTAACTAGCAAAAACATTAAATAAAAGAAATATGATAAATGCCCAAACGTCTCATTTTAGCTTTTCTGCAAGTACAGTAGCTGTTTTTTTTATTATTGCTTATGGACCTGAAGAGGTTGATTTACGATCCCCTCTTCTTTATTTATTATTCATCAATAATTGGACTAGCAGCAGAGGCATTCCCACATGCACATGCTTTAGAGCTATTTTAAAAACCAAGAAAGATTAAGTGCTCTGACAAACAGTTAAAAAAATAAAGCTCATTTAGGTATAATTTAGGCAAAATTTATTTTTTTTAATATTTATTTTTATTGACATTTCAGTCCAAAGGTATTAAGTATTTGTAATTGTTTTATAATTGTTTTTATTTTGCTCATGTAATTTATTTATCTGTGCATTTTATCTATGTCTGGTTTTAAACTGTAGTTTTCGCTGACTTACAAGTTCTGAATTGAGGATTGTCAGTTGCTTAAAGAAGCCTATGTTGGGCCGGATGCGTCTCACCTCTATGACGTGGTCAATGGCATCCTCCACCATCGTGTCAAGGTGAATCATTAGGTATGCCAGAAAAAGTGTGGGAGATCTTCTGATGGCATCTATGCAGTGCACCAACACCGTATCTAGGAAAAAAACAAAACAAACCCAAAAC